TTATACAATTTCTTCAACGTGGAAGATGTTTATTTCAGGTTAAATTGTATTGCCATTTATATTTAGCCTTGAATGATGACATATAAAAACATACAATTTTATACTCCGTAAATATAAATGCAAGATGTCATTACAAAGTGTAACTATTACTCCCTCCGCCATGTTTTAGGCAACTAATTTTCATTTAAAATTTTGTGATTTTTTAACAAAATAGTATTCCCCGGTCTCATTTTATATATTCTACTTATTATTCATTTATCAAATCAAATAATTCTTCTTTGTTTATTTTTCTTAGTATTTTTTATTCATTTTTAAATTTGATTTTTTGTGTTTAATAGTATTTTTAGTGTACTTTTAAATATATAAATTTTGTATGCTAATACTAAATTTAATATTATGAAAAATTGAATTAAAAATAATTTCAGTCAAACCTCGTTAACCGAACCAGACACAAATTATTTTTATTAAGACTCAAAACCTAAACCTCTCACATAGGGGAGCAATCCAATACTAGTAAACCACAAGCCACTTGGTACTTACAAATTATTTATTTAACAAAAGTTTACAAAATTAATTTTTAATAAAATTATAGTTAAATTCCAACCATACATTTACAAATAGGATTATGAACTCTGTAGCTTGTGACTTGTGGAGACGTGACGCATGACAATTATTATTGTGCGGACGATGGTCCGCACAAGTTATGTGGATCATATTTTATATAATATAAAATAATGTACTTTTATTATATTAAAAATATATTTTATATTTAAAAAAATATATTATTTAAATACTAAAAATATATTATTTTATATAATGTACATTTATACACAAATAATATATTTTTTGTATATTAAAAATGTATTTTCTTTTATGGTTCATACAATACTATGTGGACCATCCAATAAGTTGACGATGCGTGGCGCCCATACTAGTAAATCAGTCATGAAAGATAGCTTAGGGTGTAACGTGGACCTATAGACTACAATAATGATTGAACCTAGTCTTATAATGTCAAACTCATAAATAAGCGTATGCCATAAAACAGAAAAGGTTTATTTCATTATCTATTAATTATGGACAAAAATTTGTGTGAAATTGTTTTATAGATATTTTCTATGAGACGAGTGAAGTTAATATGAAAATGTTATATATATATATATATATATATATATATATATATAATACTAATTATGGATAAAGTGTTTATTATTTATATAGGTAATTGTAATACTTTAAAAAAAAATATTTTTACATTCTAATTTAAAAATATTACATCTTTCTAATAAGTATTACATTTTTTCTCATAACATAACAAACACTTGTCAACATTACTTATAACTTATCAGGGAAAATGCATGTAATACTTTTGATGAAAAATGTAATACTTTTTACATCAAATGTAAAAAAGTATTACATTTTTCATGGTTGCAAAATTTGCGCCTAGGCGCTAGGCGCCCGGCCACAGTCGCGAGGAAGGCCGGAATCGGCCTCCTCCGCGGCCGGCCGGCTAGGCGGTCTAGATGGCCGCCTAGCCGGCTGAACCGGCGTTCAATTTAATTTTTTTTTAAATTTTTTTTAATTTTTTTTAATTTTTTTTTGCGTTGTAAAGTGGGAAAAGTTCGGGAAGGCATAACTTTTGACTCGGTTGTCCGAAGGCGGTTTGGTCCACTAATTTCTCAAAAAAATGCTTCTTTTGCTCTTAATTTTAGTTTTTTTTTTTTTTTTTTTTTATGTATTTAGATGGTTTAAATAATCTTTTGAACACTTTTACAACCACTTACGTAAATAGTTTGTAAGAAATAACTATGAAAATCTTATGTTTTATTACTAAATTTTGAAATTTTTTATTTTATTTATAAAAAAAAAAAAAAAAAAAAATCGACCCCTACCCTTGGCGCCTAGGGGGCGCCTAACGTTTTTGGCAACATTGACATTTTCCCTTATAAGTAACAAACGTCTTATACCTTATTAGTATTTCATTTTTTAGTATAAGTATTACATTCACATATTGATCCAACTCGACTCGTCACAAGGATAAGAATCCGTGACACAGCCTCACAGAAATAATAAATATGAACCTTAAACTTTATAATCCTAAGATATGTCTTATATGTTTCAAAATTATATTCATTGCTCATTGATATGGTGCCTGATCATTAATTGCAAAGAGGGTTTTTTTTTTTTTTTTTTTTAATTTTTTCACTTTTTTAATCTCTTATGTTCAATAAGTGAGAAGGGCAGAGTGATAGTGTGTATTCTCTAGAACATTTTTCTAATCTAGATTTTTCAAGTGTAATGGAGTAACATAATAGGTATTTGAAAATGTGATAATAGCAAGTTTTATTGGATGATGATTGATTTAAGAGTATCATCATACTTTAATAATAAAAGTTTTAAAATGATATGATTTATATCCTCGCACCTCCCACTTTTAGATCATGGAAAATAACGAGGTGAAAATGATAGATATATAAAGTAGGGGACCACATATGGAAATGAGCAGATACAATTGTGGTCCCTTTTGTCTTCACATATTCCAATTTTTGCTCGCACTTCGATCTATGGCCTATGGGTTAGTTCAATTCCCTAACCTTTTGAATTCACTACAACAAATTTATAATAAAGGGGCTACAGTTGGTAAGTTATTGAGAAAATGTCATCCTTAGTGGTGCAATTATTGTAATATTTATTTTAATTTTAACTACATTTTTTTTTAATACTACTAGCTATGTTACAATATAGTATTTGTTCATAATTATTTTCTCAATCTTCTGAAGTATAAAGAGTCAACCTACTGAAGCACAAAGGGGATTAAACTCATGATCTCTCATTTTGAAGAGATATTTTGTGCACTAGACCACAATGTCATTGACTAATTTTAACTACATTTAATTTTATGATTTTATTATTATTTTCACATTTAATTTTCTATTATAAATTTTGTTTATTTAACTTTTTGGGACTATCTAATAATTTCACAATCTTAGGCTCTTAGCCTTCTATTCTTGTTGAAATTATTAGATGGTCTAAAAATTTAGTGTTAATTTAATAGAAATTGTAATCGATTAAATGTGACAATGTATGTAATGTCGTAAGATTAAATGTGACCAAATTATAAAATAACGACAAAATATGACAATGTTATGATAGTCGTGAGATTAAAGTGAAATTTTAATTTCAGTTTAGTGTTAATTCAGTTTTAATCCTAAATTTACGGGTGTTAGTCTATTTTTGGTCATTTTTTTTTTCAAAAATCTCATTTGGTCCTAGTATTATTGTGGCATGAATATTTTTGACCATCCGTCAACAAAATCATTTTAATGACATTAAAAACAAGGACATTTCGGGATGTTCAGTTCTAAGTGTCAATTCCTTTTTCTTTTCTTGATCATAGATTTATAGCATCATTCCACTTTTAGTCCTTTTGTTTTTATAAAACATCCTCGTTGGTCCTAGCATTATTTTGAAATGATCATTTTTTGTCATATGTCAATAAACTTGTTTAAATGGCATTAAAATGACATTGTTAATCACTCAAAGTCCTCTTCTTTCTTCTTGGTAATAGAACAATACACAAGTGCTACGTCCTCAAAAAAATCATTTACAAATGTCGTACATTCATTGATAACATAAATAATCTATAATTCTTTCGTATTATAATGGAACAAAAACTGCTACATATTATAAGTCTACTACAAAACTCAAAAATATGTTATTGAAAAAACTACAAGTCTAATTCATGATAAACGACCTTAAGTCTAGTGCATAAGTCTACTTTATAAAAATTCACAACATTACTTCACAATAATCCATAAGTCTACTTCAAAAATATTTTAAATCAGTCTATTGTTAGGGGGCTTTTGAGGTGTTGCTAGATTTTTATGAACTTACGGTAAAACCCTACTAGCCCAAGGGAACCACGTAAGGATTTCGAGGTGTTTTCCGTAAATGTATAAATTGGTCATGTCCTGCACTCTTAGCTTGAATTATTCTATTTTTTTCCCCATTTAAGTAAGTAGTTTTATGTATTCAATATGCAAAACTCTAGCTATAAAGTACAATTTAGTAAGTACTTTGTAATTAAAAAAAAACATTTTAGTTATCGTATTAAATTTAAATTCAAATCTTGATCCCACATTACCTATTTTAATATTGGCATTATTTCGTACTCGCTGATTTAGATGACTTTACCGCAATTTCTACTATAGAATACACTTCGAAAAATATACAATTTTATTTAAATATAATTAAACCCGAGTAAAAACAAAAAATTATATATGAAGATACTTGTATCTCTCATCTTATCACAAAGAATAAAAAAGAAATGCATTATAGTAAATCTCTTTAGAGCATGACACCACCCCACACACACACACACAAAATCTTACTATTGATAAATCAAGTTTAATTGAGACATATGAATGTAAATGTAGACACGAGATTAAACCAAGAGTTTAAAATTCTTAAAATTCTTATCCCCATCTTCATTCATCTTAAAAATATTTATTACCTTAACTTTAACAACTACCTAGGGTTTTTTCGGTAAAGCTTCTTCATTTAACCTACAAATAAGTCGCAAACTCTGTTTAATAAAACATTAAGTTTAAAAGCGTTTCAAAATAAATTATTCACTTTTCAACTTTTTTTTTTCTTTTTGATACACCATTTACCCTTTATTAATTAAAATCCTAATATCTTAGTTTATAATTTTACCACCAAGAATATCTACCATTTTCCAGTTACAAATTCAAAAGGACAATATTACAACTGACAACAGTGACAAGCGAACCCGGATTCTCATGATTACTTATTTGTTAGAGAAAATTACTTTTAGAGCTAAAAATAGAATTGTTTTTAGCAAAATTATAAACTTTTTGACACATTTTATAGTAATCATTACTGTTTATTTAAAAAAAAAAAAAAAAGGATTTTCACTCACAATGTGATGAGCATTCTCATCAAGCAATGACACACGAAAACCATTCATGGCACAGAACTGAGAGAAGAAACCAAGTGAAAACTGGATTCCATTACTTTCTACTATGGGACATGAAAATGAATGAAGCTATTCTTCTCTATTTACATTACATAATGACATAATGGTACTGCTGTAGTTCTGTTAGTTTTCAGGATCAGAGGAGAAGAAAAATCCGTGTATTAAAAGGGATTTTACTGTGGATGAGGAAGGATGATGACCTTATCCTCCACCGGTACATTGCTGCCAAAAAGAAAAGGTTAATGAATAACCGCATCATGGGTAATGGACATGAGTCAAAAAAATCAATAAAATCACTGTGGTATAACATCTTTACCCAGTGTTGGTCAGAGCTGACATTCTGTACAGGCAGGTGAATACTAGAATGTGCAATCCTATAGTATAGAAGAATGCAAAAGTTCGAGCATATCTGCAACGTTAAATTGTCTCATTTCAACACAGGAGTAAGCAAGGAAAAATCGCAACTCAAGTTCAGTTCAAAGAGTACTGGCCCTTCTGAATCACTAATCTTATAGAACATTGATGAATCTGATAGCAGAGTTGAACAGGGAACTGCAAAGTTTGGAGATTGCAATCTTACCAAAGGATTATTTGCAAAACATGCTTATGTGCAATGGGGAAAAAGTACTTTCTGAGCTAAAACACAAATTATCTACTATTTCAATTTGGTTCAGAATATGCAATTAAAAGCCACAGAACGGCACAAAAATCTTGCATCTTGGTATTCTAGCTAACCATTGACTAATTCATTTGATCATTTTCTAGTGATATGCATGTTGAAGTTCACTTAGACACTCTACTCTGGCCAAGCTGTTACAGTCACGTGCGATAGCAATTTAGTCATACATCCATCATAGTAGAGCAGGAAGAAAAATATGTAGAAAAAGTAACTTAAAATCTAAGCAAGTTATCATTGCCATGAAAAACACTGAAACAAGTAAACTTACTTGTTACCCAGGAGGAAACGTCCACTACTTAGAGTAATTTTATCTCTCAAACCCAAATCCTTGTATCTCTGATCTCTTTCCTGTTAGCAAAATTGAAGATTTTAAGATGACAATCTGTGATAAACGAAATCATAGGTAAGAGAAAGGGAAGAATTGAGAAAGTAAAACATGGGTAATGGAGGAAATACAAAAGTAGAGTTCATAAGATTCCATAATTCTCCTGCAAAATGACAAAATTAAGAAGAAAGGTGCAAATCCATTGTCTTAAAGAAGACATGGGGTAGAAGTTGACAAACCTTCTTCGAGAATGCAGCAAATGGATTTATGTCATCCTCATACATCTTCTTGTACTTGGATTCCACATCAGAGCCAAAACCAATTTCTAAATCTTCTGCATACTGAAAATGACAAGGCAGCATTTGAGTAGGAAGACCTTAGAAGTAAAATACCAGAATGACAGCAACTGATGCAAATCACCTTCTTTGATCCTCTTGAAATAACCCTCTCAGAGTTGTAATCCTGAACATAGCGGATCTTTTCATAAAGTTTGACATTGTCTGCTTTTGTTTTCTCAAGTTCTGCTGTCAAAACCCCAATCTTCTCCTTTAGTTGCCTTATTTCCTAGTCCAATAAAGAATTACTAGGTGTCTCATTGGAGAAGTAGGGAAAAGATATAGACAACAGAGTTTGGGGAAAAGGAAACTTCCAAAAGATAGAAAGTAAAACCTCCTCAGTCTCTCGCAAGCGTGATCGGAAGCGGTCTCGTTGGTTGCATATCACCTTAAGCATTGAGCTTTGATCTTGGTCTGAAGAAGTGTGCTTTTGTTCTACATTCTGGCCCTGTTTGGTAAATGGCTGCTGGCTGTTAGCTGATTGTGTTAATTAGAAGGTATAACTAGTTGATAACATTAGTTGTTGTAGAAAAGTGTTTGGTAAATTAGCTGTTTGGTATAATTTCTTTTCTCAAAAAGCTAATTGAAAAAGTTGCTTAGAGTAGCCTTTTGAATTTTAGCATTTTGGAGTTGCAAAAAGCTAATTAACCAAACACTTATATTGATATTTTAACTAAATCAAACAATTAATAGTGGTCAAATAAGCCAAAATTGGCCTATAGGCCAATATTTTACCAAACAGGGCCAGTCTATGTGATGAAAGAAAGTTCAAATTCACAACCAATGATAAATTTGGTACATGGCACAAGACTAAACATACCCATTGGTCAAAGCATTCCTGTTAGGTGTCATTTTGGTATATGGGATTAAAAGAATATTGGATTGTATTGCCAACCCAATCCCCTTTTGTCCCGTGTTTAATACAATTTAGCACATATAAGTGGACCCATCCATATAACCCCAATTTTCAGCAAAGTTAGCAATGGGGGAGCGGTTAGCATTCAAATTCCAAGGGATTGGTTGCACTTGGAAAGTAAAAAGGAACAATTTAACCCCAATCATAAAAGGGTTTTGAGTCCCACTCCACCTATTACTCCTATTTTTCTTTCATCCAAATCCTAATTGTTAATAACATTATTTGCTAATAATTGTTAACCATATTATTATTGTTCTAATTTTCATTTTCATACTATGATAGTATGATGACTATAAAGCAAAAAAAAATTAAAAGAGCTGTGTGACATTTAAAACACATACCAGAAAATAGATGAATTTTGGATACTTGACTATGTTGTGCAAAGCACAGGGAATGGAAAATAGTCCCAGGTCACTACCAAAGATGCAAGTCTGTGACTGGACAGTAATAAGGATATTCCTTTTATTCCAATGCATAAAGCCATGACGCATAAGATCAGGATTAACAGTCTAAACCTTAACCTCAGGATTGCAACTCCCAGGATTATGTACTCCTGACACTGCAAATCCTGGGACAAAAGAGGGTTTAAACCAAACTACCCCCAAGTGATATAACAGAGAAGGCAAGGCAGGACTGAGGGGTAGAGTTAGGCCATCACACTAGGAGTTGAATGCAACATGCCCAGGTCCAGCAACAAATTACTTGTTCTCCTTTATTCAAGTTCCTTCAATCCCTTTTCCTTTATGATCATAGTTCTATTCTGAAATTTGTGCATCACATTCTTTATAGTTTATAGAAAGCATAGCCCTCTTATTATTATCGCTTTCGTCTATAAAATAATCTACTAAAATATTTCTTCTTTATAATGTGGAAACAAGAAAAATAAGAAGGCTTACCTCAGATGGCTCTGTTCCTCTAGACTCTGATAGATCCCAATCATCAAATATATTGCTCTTTTTGTCTTTTGAACTGTATCCCTGTATTAAAGTAAAATGTAGAGTTGTTTGTGAAATGAAAATGAAATGGAAAGTAGATCACCAGAACCTATTCACAATCTACTAATTACTCATAGAAGATAAAATTCTAACTGGGGCAGGTTAAATATAAAAGGGCATGTTTCAGCAGCTGCACCGCACATCTGATGGCAGAAGTGCAAACTTAATTATTGTTAAAGAATAGCTCAAAAAACACACCACATGAATAGGGAAGTATTAGAATATTAGATCTGTAACAATTGTGCAAACCTTCAGAATATCATCCTCTAGCTTTTGGATTAGTCTCTGCTGTTCACCAACTTTAGCAGTCAGTTCATCAATCTTGGCTTCAGCTGATTCCAGCAAAGAGGCCCTTTCTGAAAGTTTGATCTGAATACAGGCAGCGGAAAGAGTCAATTATATAACAATTCGTAGATTTTTTACTTTTTTAGTACTAGAACTACAGAATCTGACATTTATAAATGAAATCTGTAGTTTATTATGGAGTAGTTCATAGCAATATGTGTTGGTGATTTGTCAACCTAAATATTCACATCAATCAACAAATATACAGAGTTCAAAGGAACTGCTACTTGATAGGTATTAAATGTGGCAGGTCTTCATTCATACCTTCAACTGTGTGAGCTCATGCTCCATTTTCCGGTTCTTGTCAAGAAGTAATGACTCAAGTTTACTCATCTCTTCTCCACTGGTAGCGGCTTCCCAATCTTCAGCCTCAATAGAGTTGTAGCCCACAGCCTATAAACAGAGAGTTCTCTGAAATTAGTCTGGGCCATAGACTAGTAGTGTACATGTGAAACATCATGGTAGACCAGGGAACAAGTAAGTGGAGTGAGATCAAGTACATGAGTAGATGTCATTTATGATGAAACAACAGAAAAGTTAAGTTTACATTTAAGAATTTATTTTATAAAAAGTTTTCACAAAATTAACTGTCGAACCTGTAAGATTTGGACTTTCTTTTTCAAGTCATCGACTAACTTTGCTGTAGGCCTTGATTGAAGTTCCTTCTTCATTTCATCAAGAGCAACTTCCTGCAGGTTAGCAAGCAAGATACAGATTATATATTAGGGGAAGGATAAAGATGGTTTAAAATAATGAAGCAGATTCAAATATAATAGGAAAATATTCCTTGAAGAGAAATAGAGACAAAGCTGACATCTTATCAAACATTGAGCTGTGTATAGAATTGTCAATAAAAGTATTCATCATCAGTCTAAGTTCAACTAGGAATAACACCCATGAATTTTATTGTTCAGCAAAAACTGAAAGCATTTACTGTTGAAGAATCAAAGTGAAATGCCCATATGTAGTACTTAATAACTCAAATCTATAGATCTCAGATATCTGAGCATAAACAGATAAAAAGAAACAGAAACTCTGGTGGACTACATAAGCATCTTCAACAGAGAACTTATTTATAACTATGGTGTGGATAAGTCTTGGTGCAATGCTGAGATCACTCTATGTATCCATTTGTGAGTTGGCATTGCATTGGTTTGAGTTTAGGAAAACCACCCGTCGAAATGCAAAACCACATTGCAGGACAGGAATAGAAAATCTAACAAACGAGTGTGTACCTTCTCATGAAGCAGAACATTCAGCTTCTTCACCTCATTAATGTGCTCTTCTCGCTCATTAGATAAGGTGCTCTCCAGATTATGAAGTTCCATATTTAATTCAGACATTATCTTCTCCTTGGCACTCAAAGAATTCTCAAGGATGCTATTTGTATCAAAATTATCACTGAAACCAGAGCACTGAGATTAGAACATGAAATGTAAGCTACCCAAAATAAGCCCATCTAGTTAACCCCAAATGATGAACAGGGTAAGAAAAACACAGGATATGGAAAAAAGTGAAAGACAGCATACTGCAGATGGATGCATTCATGAGAAATCACAACTTCTGAAATGCAACACAAGATCCCTCTATTACCCATCTTGCTCTATCAGTGGCCTGAACTCATTAAACCTAAGCTCTCAAGACAAAATGTCTTCCTCATCTAGTATACTCCAACTCATTGATGCTGCCTACTTACTCAGTGTAAGACCATTACCCAAAGCTTTTAATTTTACGAATTAAATGTTTTTTTCTTGAACTCCTATCTTGTGTGAAAATATTCTTTCAGGTACCATCAGTTAGCATTCTACCTCAACATGTTCCAAGTTCATGCCCTGGAATAAGTTTCTTTAGCCTGAGAAGAGTAGGAGATGGATCTAAACTGATTGTTTTGCAGCCATTTAAGATATATAATGCTGGCCAACTAAAAAGTAAGCAGTTATTCCACATACTCATTCAGACAAACCTATATCTTAAAGTGTTAACTGTATTCTTCCCCTACTTTAATCCTATGAACCTTCTTCTATGTTTATTTTGTTCACGGGCTATTAGGAGCAGTACTAAGGGGACAGATGGGAGTTAATTGATGAAAGCAATAAAATATCATAAATAAATAATATTACTTCCAGAAAAAGAATGCTTTTTCTTGACAATTAAACTAAGCAAACAAAAGTACTTCTAAGCAAACACATTGAGTTATCAACTCTACGGACTTTATCACAAAATTAAAGTACTTCTATTGTACTGAGCTAAGCAAAGCAGAGAAATTCACCTTTTCCTATCATCATTATCTTCATTAGCCGATTGTAACTGGGAGCGCAACACGCCCTGAATAAATCCAGTAGAAATTTAAGAATAAAGTACACTCAAATCAAAACCAAGAAAAAAGGAGCAAAGTTAGCAACACTAGGCATTATAAAATTTAAAAAAAAAAAAAATCAAAAAAAATCATGAGTCCTCTCTAAGATGAATGTAGAAAACAAATGCAAGTCAGAATGTGTGAATGACATTTTTTGAGACTTACATATAGCTTTGGATTCCAAAGTGAGGGATAACTTCTAAACACTATATGTTGAAGGTATATAATGCAGCTCTCTGCTTTTGAAAACAAGACATACACACTACCAAAAATATTCTGTAAATCATTCCTAAACCTATCAGTATCTTAAAACTTTCATCCAACATTTTGGCTGAGGGGCAGAAATCATCAAAATTCCTGAAACAGTGAAACTTCATAAAGAAGAAATCGATGCACCCATCATAGCAGGTTGTTGGTTAAAGGTACAAAGGAAATGAAAAGTTTGATTTCCTGTGCTGTGAATTAACAAACAAAATAGTTTTGCTGCGCTATAAAAGCCAAGTAACAAAAATTCATTCCTTCCTTTCTTTTCCCCATTTATTGAGTGGGGAGGAGTGTGTACACCTCAGCCCAACAACATCATAAAAATAAACAGGAAAAATATTTTTTAAAAAAATTATAAACATGTTATATAAAATTCATTATAGAAAAAGAGTGCACGTCAAGCAAATGATATAGGGCATTGGAATAGCATCTATTTAGGATGCAGAACTAGAAATAGATGCTACTCCATCGCATCTACATTATAACATTAATATGCAGTTTGTATGTCACACCTTTTCTCTCTCAAGGCTAAGGAGGCGACCTTGAGCCCGTTCAACTTCATCCATTAAAAGATTCACTTCTGATTGTTTTGCTGCCCTCTCTTCCTCTATAATCAGAAAATTGGAAAAGCAAAGGGAATCCAGTTACTCACATAGTATGCATTAAGGGAAATACTTTCAATGGAAAATTGGAAATATAAACGCATCTTCTAAGGTAATCAGGTTAAATGTTGAAAAACCTAATGGAACGTGAAAGATCTAAGATCAAAATCAGTGTAGGACCTGATTGTGCATGAAGTTCAAACAATTGGCTTTGGGCAAGTTCATGCAATTTTTGAATGGTTGAAACACTTTCTTGAGCATGGCGTAATTGATCCTGCATCAACTGCTCCCTGCATTAATAAAAGGGCCAGAATAATGATGTGCATTTTAAGTTAGAAAACACATCACTTGAATTGCATATTCATTAAAGGTTACTAAGCACCAGAAGCATAAGATACCTTTCTTTTAAAACCTCCATTGTTTTCTGGTTTTCTTCTGCCAAACTGCGTTGCTTAATCTCCACAATTTCCTTTACTTTTTCCTCCATCTGAAATTTGAGGAAAAAAAATAGATCATGGAAATGCAAAAGTATCTAGTGGCAGTTTTATACAACCATTCAAGAAAACCAAATAACAAGCCATCAAAATTTGTTTAAAACATTAACATCAATAAGTTGATCAAGTTATATGATTTAATCAGCAAATTCATAATCTTTCAGAAATGTAAATTACAAATTAAACATTGACCTATATGGCTGTATAAATTGTAAGGCACTATGTTACACTTTACTATATAGCTGATATGTATATAGATGGGTATATATTAATATGTATGTATATACTGGCCTGTTGTTCTAATTGACGACAGCGCTCTTCAAGCCTCCTTATTGTTGCCTGTTGATTTTTAAGATGAGTTGCCTCCATACGGAATTCTTCAAGCTCAACTTTCATTTTACGATTCTCAAACTCCAACTCCGATAATTTTGAATCCTTTTCCTGCATAGAGGCAACATCTACATAGTCAGGAAATGAAAAATTGAGGTTAGAGAACTGTGACCAACCTTGTACTTACAGCAATTGAAGCAATAAGTGGATAAGGGTCTGGTGCTTCATAAATTTTCTGATAAATGTTAAGAAAAGCATTTTCCCCAAATTTTGCTCTTTTGGTAAGATTATCAACCTCTTCTTGATAACCCTTGAGCAAGGAGTTAAATAAGCTCAGTTTGTCTTCATTAGAAGCCTTTTTGAAATCTGTGAAGAGGCAAAACATAACGTTTACACCATATGATTTATAATAGTAAGGACCAGTAAAAATCAATAAGCAGATTATTAAATTAAACATGATAGCATAAGCAGGTTTTAGAAGTAGGCCAGTATCATTTGTTAAAATCTAGTATAATGACCAGCACCAGCTTCGAAAGTAGTACCTCGTGTGCTCTCTGCAAGCTTTCTACGGTTTTTCTGACTGTTCTCCTGATTTTCAGCAATTCTAAGACCTTGTTCATCCAGTGCAATCCTTTCTTTCTCTAAATTAAACTCTGAAAACAAACAAAAAACAAAACAAATGTCTCAATGTTATAAAACCGAACATTTACCCCTTTTTAATAGACCATATAAAGTGGTAAGAAAAAAAAATTCTTTTAGTCTAGAACTGTACAACCAACCGGAAATTGATTTTTAGTTATTATTTAATGATATGAATGAAATATTTCAGTTAAGAAACCTGCAAGCTAACCATAAATCTACAAAATTCAAATCATGCATAAATCCATCAATTGACTACTGGCATTTCGTTTTGATTATTTCTAGATCATATTGCCACTGAACTATAATATAATTCAAACTTCTATACTCGATTGAACACAAGGGCAACCTGCTTTTCCTATTACCATCTAACAAAAGCTTCAAAATACAGTTTAACCGAGAGATTAATATTAATTCAATGATAGTTTACTGCGAAAGTAGAAATAAATATGAAATTGCTAAGAAAATGTGGTAATGAGAAATCTGTACTGATGATGGAAGTAGAACGAAGTAGCTGTACCTTTCCAGAAGCTAGCTACGGCGGCGATTGGGGTAGTGGAGGTGGACATGGAGTTCAGCTTCTCCCTTTCCGATCCCCCTCCTTCGCCTCCTCCATGCGAGGTGTCCATTTCTGATCTGGCTTAGCTCAGTCCCTTCCCCCGAAATTATAAACACACACGTTCACTCCCTTTCTCCCTTTCCCTCCCTCAATGTATGTATATATATATATATATATATATATATATATATATATATATATGTTTGTATATGTGTAAGTACAGATTGGTAGTTGAGTACTCTGGATATGTTTGATGATGGATCAGGGAGATCTGTATGGGTTCTTCCTTCAAGACTAATTTTGTTGAATGCAAGCAGAAATAACCCGGATTGAGCAAAACCGGGTCGGGCCTCTAGTTAAACAAAATCCGGATCTTTGGTATAAAATATAATCTAGACTCTAACAACATAATAAGTGTGAATGAAAGTTATACCCCTGATTTATGTCCGTTTTTTACGTTAAGTTTTTTTGTACATTATGCTATAAAGGTTGTACATTAAAATATTTTGGACAAACATACCCCTATCGTTATAACTTCCGTTATCTTTTCCACTATTGTTACCATGCATATGCATCCACCATATATTTTCTTATCTTCTTCATTAATAATAATATATACACATTATATATTTGAGTTATATGTTAATTATAACATAAAATATAAATATCAAATTTATAAAAATGATTTACATTATTATTATTATTATTATTATTATTATTATTATTATTATTATTATTATTATTATTATTATTTAGAATAATTTAAATATCTAAAATCTAAATAAATTTAAAATTTTAATATAATGTATTAATATTGGGCACCTATTTTTTGCGCATCGCGCATAAAAAATACTAGTAAATATAATAAGTGTGAAGAGAAAAGGATCAAATAGGCCCCTAAACTTTACCTCAAAGGTTAATTAGCCCCCTAAACTTTACAAAAGTACAATTAAACCCTCAAACATGTCAAATTTGGTCAGTGAAGCCTAAAATTGATAAAAACTTTACCTCAAAGGTTAATTAGCCCCCTAAACTTTACAAAAGCACAATTAAACCCTCAAACATGTCAAATTTGGTCAATGAAGCTTAAAAATTGATAAATGACCTGTTATTACAAGTCATTTCAATTCCGGCGACAGATTCCGGCCACCAGCGAGGAATTCCAGGCACCAGTGAAAAAATCCGGTCACCGGTGACGAAATCCGACCGTCTGGTGACCGGACGGATCTGGCCGTTCTTCTCCATTGGAGAAGAACGACCAGATCTGGTCGTTCTTCTCCAATGGAGAAGAACGCCGTCCGGTCGTCTTCTCTAGTGGAAGACGACTGGACGGCCGGATTTTGTCGCCGGTCATCGGATTTTTTTCGCTGGTCGCCGGAATCTATTGCCAAAATTGAAATGACCTGTAATAACAGGTCATTTACCGGTTTTTAGGCTTCATTGACCTAATTTGACATGTTCGAGAGTTTAATTGCACTTTTGTAAAGTTTAGGGGGCTAATTTACCTTTGGGGTAAAATTTAGGGGTCTATTTGACCTTTTTATCTAAGTGTGAATGAATGTTATACATTTCATTTATGTCCATTTTTTTGGTCAAATTTTTTGTTACATCCTATCCTATCCTATATATAAAAAAGCCAGATCTTTTAGCTACAGATTTTGGCTCCAATTTCCGCCTACAACAAACGGTGACGTTTTGGTTTTTTTTTTTTTTTTTTTTTTTTTTTTTTTTTTTTTTGCGTTGCTGCTTGGCCAATCAAATTAATCTATACTCCTGCCCATCCGGACGTCAGAAACCTATGTTGTCAGGCCTCATTTGTAGGGGAGTGGCCTATTGCCTGTTTATAGAGTTGCCGTGTGATTTCAACCAAGCTGGGTATGGGAGTGGTGTACTCTTGGCAGAGTCCTCAATTCCACGCTTATATATATAGAAGATACAGAGACTTCAACCTCTATTCAGATACAAACTGAAAAAACATATTTCATATTTCTACGATCAAAGAAGAAGATTTACGGGCAGTTTATTGTTGGTGCCGCTTCATCCTCAACAAACCACAAAGGTGTGCTGAATTATGTTGTCACTGAAACCTGGAGAGGAAAACACATCAGTCAAGAGTGTGTGTTTGTAGTTTACTATTATCCATTTGTCATGGTAATGTAATCTTTCTTTTAATTTTAATTTCTTCTGTGATAATCATGATGTTGGTGTTTTTACATTGAAAAAACACAGATATATATAATGCCATAGACATATTCTGACTAAAGTATAGATTACATACTTGAAAATATTTGATTGTTACTTTGAAAATACAAATGCCATTAATGGAACCTTGAAAATATTTGATTGTTAGCTTTAAATTTTTGAATAACATACTAAAAACAAAAGCATCAGAGCACTTGAATCAGAAAGCAAAAAATACTTCAATCAGAAACAAACAAAAAAAAATGTTTAAAATTAATTAGAACACTTTAATCAGGAAAAAAAGGCATCAGACTCTTTTATCATTACTTGCATGTAATTTTAGATGTTACTATTTGGGTTTTGGAACTTATATAAGTCTTAGAGTATAGTATTTGTGTTATTGATGGTATGTATATATATGCATATAGATGATAATTTTTTTTTTTTATATTGTATCTGTTCTCTTGATATGGTTTCTGTGAACTCCTAATAATAAGCTTATAATACAACAGTTGTATAAGAAGACAATAACTAAACAGAAAAAGGCTTCAGACTCTTTTATCGGCATTTGCCTCTAATTGTAGATTGTTAGTAATTGAATTAAAAAATGTAATCATGAAACAAAAATGATGTATACTATGTGCTTGAGTAGACTAAAAGTTACACAATATAACCGATACACACAACATTTTTACTTTACCCCTAGATCTAACCCTACTAGCATGCAGTAACATTGAGTACCCTATTGTAATTCTTGATAGTGGCTTTTGAGTTCTATATATATGGCATTTAAGAGAGAAACATGTCTAATGTATATTCATTTTGAGGGAAAAACTTTTCAAAGTGAATAGTTAACAAATGCAGGCAAAATGAAAATGTTGAAGGGGTCAACAAGCACATGTGGAAAGAGAAAACACAATGATGAAGATAAAGGTACAATAGAAGTATACCTGTTGTTTTAAATTCAATCTCTATCAAATTTTCACTTCCTATTTGATTTGCACCATGTTAGTGTTTTGCTTTGGATATGTGTCTCAATTCTGCACCATCTACACCATATTTATAAAACAATTCTGTTAGTACTAGAAAGAAACATGCATGGTGATTAGAAGTTAATATAATGAATAAAGCTTAGTTATTGAATTTGATTTGCATAGTAAATAGTATACAAGTTTAGTTCTCTTCTTTCTATTTTTCTTAAATTCATATTTAGTGTCATTATTTACTGCTCATTACAATTATTTATCTTTAAACTATTTTTATCTTTCTTAGCATTCTAGCTTAAATTTTTTTTTCCTTCTTGTGTGATTTGATTTTTACTTGAAATTGGTTTTTTTTTTTATTTTTTTTATTATTTTTTTTAACTTACATACGGAGTATATAGTATTAAAAATTTATGAAGTTTTAGTCATTTAGATTTTTAAACTGTCAAAAGTTCTTTTGTTGAATTCATGCCTATGCTAAAATGTAATTATATATATATATATATATATATATATATATATATATATATATATTATATGTATGTGTGTGTACGTGCAAAAGAATAGCTAACAATTTTTTTAAAAAAGAAAAGATTTTCACCTGTTTTTTGTTTGTGTCTATTTTTGGTGGTTCTACCAATTACTGATTTTGTCCATCAATGTTTAATATTGTGATTTTTTAAGAAAACATGAATACAAATAGTGTAAATAATAGATTTTTCAGTCCAAATCATAAACTTTTTTTTTTTTTTGAAATATTAGATTTGACCGTTCAAATCATAAACCCCAACAAATTCGTTATTTTTTTTTAATATTTTCCCTTGCGTAGTAATAAATTAAATGAACAAATATAATAGATAAAATTCACACAAAAGGATTGCAAATAATAGCACGAACGACCAGATCGGAGTAATACTCAGCAGAAACGAACAGAAAATCGGAAGAACAAAAGAAAAGCAAGCGTGCGGAGACTCACGAGATGAACAGGAGCTCTGATGTGGTTAACGAGCGAGGAGCTACACTGGTTCTCTCCGACCTCATGTCTGTGGTGTCTCTGGGTGTACTCTTCCTCCACACTGGTCCTTCTATCGCCGCCGAGCATGTTGACCGTCATCTGGCGCCGGAAAATCTAGAACTGTTTGACGGTGGGAAGTGCAGTGAAAGATGGGACGAATCAGAAGTCAGAGGAGAAAAAGAGTCATCGCCATTTGATAAGGAAAAGGAAGCCCCATTGGCTGAACGGTCCAAAATGATTCGGTAGCTTTCTGTCTCATCCACATCCTCCTCTTGCTTTTTCTTTCCATTTACTAATACAGTGAGAGACAAAAAAAAATAGAAATTACTTAGTTTTCTCTCAGATCTATTGATGTGAGTGGTAAAACTGAAAAAATGGAGCCAAGGAGGCTGGGGGAAAAATAAATTGGTGCATGCAGATGAAGAATCTTCTGAAAACAAACCACTTCCACCTCGCCGGAGAAAAAAAATGAAACCATCGGTAGAAGGAAGCAAAAAGGTGTGTAGGGAGGGCTGTGATTGTTAAATTGGTAGAGTGGAGACGATGTAGCAGTTCTCGGACAGAAACAAAGTGAACAAAGACGCAGAGAAGATATTCAGACAGGGATGGTGATGCTGCTGCCTGTTGATAGATTTAGGGTTTGGTTTTTGTTTATAATATGTGGGCTGAAATGGGTTTGTGATGAGAATTGTTTTGGGCTTTTGATTTGGACCAAAGAAACAAAAAATTATATATTTAAATGTATGTATACTTTGGCCCAGATTTTTTTTTTAAAGTAAATAATTATATTTTAAATGTCATGACTTTTATCTTTCGTTTTTTTTTTTTTTTTTTTTTTTTTTTTTTTTTTTTTTTTTTTTTTTTTGGGTTAGAATGAAAATGTAAAGAAACTATATTTTTAATGCTATGATTTTTTATCAATTTTTTTTTTTTTTTGTTGGAATGAAAATGTTAAGTATGAATTTGTTTTGTAAGTGGTAAAATCACTATACTCGGATGACTACAAATAACTTCGAATGGTCATATATAATATTAACACTTTTTAGTAATTACCTAGGTTAAATATTAATTTTTATTTTAATTACACAATTTTATAAAAGAACAAATCTCATATTCGCTTTTTTATATATGAAATTTAATAACATTAATATTTTTAATAACATAACATGGTTTTAATATTTTTAATATTTAATCCATGCATCGCACGGGTGACATACTAGTTATGCTATAAAAGTTGTACTATATAATATTTTAGACAAACATACCCCTATCGTTATAACTTCCGCTATTTTTCACTATTGTTACTATGCACATGCATCCACCATATATTTTCTTATATTCTTCAATAATAATAATATATACACATTATATATTGGGGTTATAGGTTAGTTATTCCCTAAAATATAAATACAAATTTATAAAAATAGTTTACAATATTATTATTATTATTATTATTATTATTATTATTATTATTATTATTATTATTATTATTATTAAATTTAGTTTTAGTTTTAAAAAGATATTTTAAAATTTAGTAACCGATAGCATGTTACCAAGTCAACAGGTTATTTTAGGTTGAATTGTATTATTTTACCTTGTTCAGAGATCTAATTATAGATTTTTTAGTTTGATGGCCAAATTACAGTTTGGTGTGTAGTTGAATGACATATTTGACCCTTATTCTTAAAATTAATTGATAAACTATTTTTTTAATAAAAAAATCGAGTGAGGGGAAATTCAAATGGATAGCAAACTCAGTTACAATTCAAGACAATGCAACCAATCTAAGGAATACCAATCCTATTAAGTATTTTTTTGGTGCGTTTGAGCCCTCTAATAAGGGCGGTTACTGGACCCTAAGGTTCGGTGAGTTCTTCATATCAGCGTGAAGCAGACCTTGCAAACCGTTTGGCGCGTTGGCAAGAGTCGTCGTTCCCCAGTTCGTTGATTGTCCCATGTTGGCGAGCCAATCTGCACATTTGTTTCCCTCCCGGCTTATATGGGAAGCCCGAAAGTTCATGAACCTGCGTGCTAGGTCCATGCAATCCTTGATGAGAGCTCCAACCGGTTCTTCTAGTGTACTGTCCATGTTGAGAATGGAGACCACGGAAGCCGAGTCCATTTCAACCCAAACCTTGCTAATCCCTTCTCTCAAGCATAGCCGCAGACCCTCCCTTAGGCCCCACAGCTCCGTTGAGAAACTGTCCGTTGAGCCAATCTTGGTGACAAAGCCCTTGATCCATCTCCCAGCTTCATCTCTGATGAGCCCACCCGCGCTAGCCAAGCCACTGCTACCTTTCATAGCTCCATCAGTATTAAGTTTCCTCCAACCCAAATCTGGTGGTGTCCAAGATATCCACTTCCAGTGACCGTGGATCATACCTTTGTGCTTACTCAAGTAATCGAAAGCTTCCCGTGAACCTTGTTTGGCCATAACGCTGACTTGGTTTGGACTGGTTGTGTTAGCGTTGAAAACGAAATTGTTTCTCGCTTTCCAGATCTCCCAAAGGCAGTAGACAAAGAGGCAGCTCCACGACGTGCCATCCGCCAGTGTTCTTTTGTTGGTGCAGTTTTTGTGAAGCCAGACGTCGAACGCCATGAATTGATGCCCAGCGACTCCTCCATCCTGTGCGAACAACTCCCAGCACTCCTCGGCGAAGAAACAGTTTCAAAAGATATGGGACGCCGATTCAATCTCGTCTCTGCACCGAGCGCAAGTATTGTCATCCGTCAGTCCTCTTCTCCACCGTTCTTCATTCGTCATCAGCTTTCCATTATACAGTAACCAGATGAAGGTCTTGATTTTTTCGATACATTTGATTTTCCAAAGCCAATTCCAATTTGTAGTAGTCTCTTCATTACCTGCAACCAGAGAGAAAGCCGAGGAAACAGAAAACTTACCAGAGGAATTATGATGCCAGTAGAGGGCATCATGCGTCTCTTCATCCACAGGGATAGGTATAGCACGAATTTTGTTAACAATGGCTTCCGGGAGGATGTTTTGGAGCGTATCCAAGTCCCAGCTGTGATCTGATTTAATGAAGTTGCTGACTGTGGTGTTTTGCAGATCCTTCGGTATGTCGATGTCCAGCTCCAAGGCGAGTGGTTTGCTATTTACCCACCAATCTGCCCATAAGTCAAGAGATTTTCCGTTTCCTACTCGCCATCTCGCCCCAAGTTCCACGATGGGTCTTCCCTTAACAATGCTGCGCCACCCCCAAGATACCTGGTTCGGTATGGGCGATGTGAAGAAATTGTCATCCCGGATGTACTTTTGGCTTAAAACTTTGATCCATAATTTCTCCGGGCTGTTCAGCATTTGCCAGGCTAGCTTGGTTAAGAGAGCTAGGTTGAAGTCCTTGGCCATTCTTAGACCAAGGCCCCCAAGATCCTTAGGTTTGCAAACCATCTTCCAATTGGCAGAGTGAATTTTTCTTTTTGCCTCAATTGACCCCCAAAGGAAATCCCTGCAGATTTTGTCAATGTCATTACACGTACCTGAATGCAGAGCCAGGGTCTGCATGGTGTAGACGAGCACACTAGCGAGGGCCGATTGAACCAACACCTTTCTGCCGACCATGCTTAGCGTCTCCGTTTTCCAATTTGCAAGCTTAGTTCTCATCTTGTCCAAGATATAAATGAAGTTTTGTCTTGTCACACGTGTGTGGAGGATCGGAATGCCAAGGTACTTGCCTAGGTTTTCAGTAACCGGAATCTTTGCTATAGAGCCCACCAGACGTTTTAACCCGTTTGGCGTGTTAGTAGAGCAATAAATCAAGGATTTTGAAAAATTAATATTTAAACCTGATTGGGAGGAAAATCTATCCAAGCACCCCATCATGATATTGATCTGCGTTTCTGAGACTTCCCCAAAGAGTAAGAGATCATCTGCGAAGAACAGGTGGGAGATCCCAATTCCTCCTCGGGTAATATGAATGGGCTTCCATCTCTTGGTTACAACTTCAGTTTGGATCAAATAAGAGAGCTTTTCCATCGCAAGAATAAACAGATAGGGAGCTAGGGGGTCTCCCTGTCTCAAGCCCCTCCCAGGACTAAAAAAGGGTAGTTTGCCCCCGTTCCAGAGGATCCCGATTTTACTATCCCGGAGCGAGTTGAGAATAAGGCAGATCATCCTGTTCGGGAACCCAAAGTCCTCTAGGGTGTGTTTCAAGAACTCCCAGTCGATGTTGTCGTAGGCTTTATGGAGGTCCACCCTGATCACCAGAGAACCCTTTTTACCTTTTTTGTTTTTCATGGTGTGAATCACTTCCTGGGTAAGCACGATGTTGTCTAACGTGGATCTTCCCTGAAGAAAGCTATTTTGATGGGGGCCAATAAGCTTCATCATGAGGGGTCTCAACCTATTAACAATCACTTTCAAGACAATTTTGAAGATATCATTCAGAAGGGTGATGGACCTGAAGTCGACCCCACTTTCAGGGTTATCCTTTTTAGGAATAAGAGTAATGAAAGCCTCGAGCATATTAGACGGAATAATACCTGAAACCAGCGCTTCATTGACTAGGTTGGTGACAGGAATACCTACCTCATCCCAGAAATCTTAGTAAAAGGCCGCCTCAATTCCATCCGGTCCGGGGCTTCCTAGCCTTTTCATGCCGAAGACGGCCTTTCTAACTTCAACCAAATCTGCTCTTTTCCCCAAATGAGTGGCTTCTTCTAGGGTGATTTTCCTTCCATTCAGATGTTCCGTGGGAAAAGGGACCACGGTATCCGACCTGTCAAAAAGCTTAGCAAAAAATTCAGAGATATGGCCAGAAAGGATTTTTGGGTCCAAATTCCACTCACTATTGATTTTTAGAGCACGGATCCTTCCCCTATTTCTTCTGATGGTCGTGGATGTGTGGTAGAATTTAGTATTTCTGTCCCCATCCTGGATCCAAGCTTTTCTAGATTTTTGAAACCAAAGAATTTCCTCTTGTTTCAAGGTTAAGTTGAGGTCATTAAGCAGCTTCTTTTCGAGCACCTGTAGTCCCCGGGAAGTGTTATACCAAGGGGAAGATTAGAGACCGTGGATCATTGCTTGGAGTAGCCTTTTCCTTTTGAAAATATTACCAAACGTTTGATCGTTCCACTGCTTGCTGAGGTTAGTAACTTCCTCTATAGCACCATTGACATCATGTTCTCGATTCAACCAGGCCTTCTTCCAAATGTCCCTGTAACCATCGTGGGTCAGCCAGGCGGCTTCAAATCTAAACGGTCTATCGTTTCTGGGTGGAGTGGGACCCGCTGAGCTAATGAAGGAAATAGGATTGTGGTCCGAATGGGTTCTGGCCAGCACCCTAGATTTTGCTTCAGGAAAAAAATTATGTGCTTGTAAATTCCAAAAGACCCTGTCAAGCTTTCTTATGAAAACTGTGCGCCCTCCTACCTGCCTCGTCCACGTAAACTTGGGTCCAGAAGAATTTACTTCTAAGAGCCTGCAATTGTCAACAGCTTCACAGAATTTATTAATATTATATTCAAGTTAATAAAATCACTACCCACTGATCATTGGTAGAGGCCACGTCATTAAAGTCTCCTAGTAGAATCCACGGATCCGACATAGAGCTGCTAAAATCATTACAGTCACTCCAAAATATCTCCTTTGCCCTCACGTTAGGCCTGACATAGGCGAACGAGACAAAGGTACAGAAGATACCACCTACTGCGATCCTACAGTGAATCACTTGGGTGCTACTACAGATAACCTCCAGGTCAGTTAGGTTAGTATTCCAGACTAGG